TCAAATTACTGAAAATCTGGTATAAGGGGAAATCACTGTACTTCCTGTACTTCAGAGAAATTAGTAACATAAATTAAACTTAAAGCAAACATTACATTAATAAATAATAGGCTTGGAACATCTCCTAGGAGACAATAATTAAATATGACATCATATTATTTGATATTTTTATACAGATCTAAGTCCAACATTGGCCTTACAAGAGTTCGTACATTAGGTCTCTATCAAAGGCTTACCATACAATGCAATGCACTATCAAGAAGTATAAGTAAAAAAAATCATAATAAAAAAACTAGAGTAGAAAAATAATCAATGTTTATTTAATTACTCAGTCCCTAAGTGGCAAATGTAAAGAAAATATTAAATTATGATAACTGAGGGAAAATTAATAGTTCTCAACCAATTGTATGTATACCTCAGAATTTTCTGATGAGTTTTTTTTTTAATAGATTATCCTAAGCCCTACCCTAAAAGACTTTAAACTAGTAGGCCTAGGGTAGAGTTTGTGCCTCTGTATTTGTTGTAAAAACTTTCTTAGGTGATTTTGATGATCATGGCTGAGCAAGAATCACCCAGATAGGACAGTCATTATAGACTGAATTGGGTAGAGAAAGTTCCATAAAGAATGGAGACCTCAGCTTCACCTTGCCAGCTAAGAAGGCTTTAAATAGGCAGAGAGGAAAAGAGAAGGGCAAACCATTCCAGTTGCTGGGAGAAGATGTGCAAAAACAGTGAAAACGAACTCATGAATGGGTAAGGTATCATTGGGGAGAGACTAGGTAGGCCACTCTGCAAAAAATTCAACACACGTAAAGATGGTAGGGTGCCCACTGCATGTGGTAATTAAAAGGTGATTGCTGACTTTTAAAAGTACAATTCAGTGGAGGATTGAATCCAGATTTAAGGGTTAGGAAATGAATAAATAATGGGGAATCAGGCGGTGGGTATTTACAGCACTCATTTGAGAATTTGGTAGGGGAGGAAAAGTAGAAAAAAAAAAAGAAATAATGGAATTTAAATAGGAAAAGGAGGATCAAGAAATCAAGAGATTTTTTTTTTCCCCTAGAGAAGGGAGCCTGAACATGTTTGTAGGCAGTGGAGAGGAATCCAATGGAGAAGAGAGGATATTTTACAAAGAGGATAAAATTGGGATTGGTATCTCCTAAATGTTTTTTTTTTTTTTTTGAGACAGAGTCTCACTCTGTATCCCGGGCGAGAGTGCCATGGCATCAGCCTAGCTCACAGCAACCTCAAACTCCTGGGCTCAAGCAATCCTTCTGCCTCAGCCTCCCGAGTAGCTGGGACTACAGGCATGCGCCAACGTGCCCGGCTAATTTTTTCTATATATTTTTAGCTGTCCGATTAATTTCTTTCTATTTTTAGTAGAGACGGGGTCTCGCTCTTGCTCAGGCTGGTTTCGAACTCCTGAGCTCAAACAATCCGCCCGCCTCGGCCTCCCAGAGTGCTAGGATTACAGGCGTGAGCCACCACGCCCGGCCCCCTAAATGTTTTTAATGCATTTGTTTAAGGACTAAAATAAATTACAATGAGATTATACAAGTTTAATTAGAACTACGATCTGAGTAAATTAATGGGAATCACTGATTCACCAAAAAAGTCCAGGCAGAAAGATGACAATAAAGACAAAGAAAGTCTCTATCAACCCTACCCACTTGATTTTCTCCACTTGATTCCAGATCCACAAACTCTGTGGCAGTAATTCAGAATAGATGCAAAAATGGAATGGAAGAGCTTCAAGTTACAAGGTACAGACAAGTATGTAATATAATCTGGGCTAGAAGTGGAACTAAACTGTATCTCTGTTCTTCCACAAAGGAGCAGGTAACTGGTTAAAGTGAGTGCAATCTTTTGCTTCAAACCTCACTCACTAACTTAACAATTTTTTCCCTGGAGTGATCCCTTAAAAGTTTATGTACTAACAAAACCAAAGCCAAGAAATTTTTTTTTTTTTTCCGAGACAGGGTCTAACTCGGTCACCCAGGCTAGGGTGCAGTGGCATAATCATAGCTCATTGCAACCTCAAACTCCTGGGCTCAAGCAATCCTCCTGCCTCAGCCTCCTAAGTAGCTGGGACTACATGTGCATGCCACCACACCTGGCTAATTTTTCTACTTTTTGTAGATATGGGGTCTTACTCTTACCCAGGCTGGTCTTAAAACTCCTGGTGTCAAGCAATCCTCCCACTTCGATCTCCCAAAGTGCTAGGATTACAGGCATGAGTCACCTGGCCAGGCCCAGACAAATTTTTTTTTTTTAATCTAGGTATAATAAGGAAATTGGCTTCGTTGGATTACAATAACTATGATTTTTTGAAAAGGTTTAGCAATTCAGAAATGCTAGGTCAACAGCAACCAATCTTAATAGGGTGTGACCTGATGGAAATAATCCTTGAGCAAGATTTTTCTGTCAGTTAAGGGTAGAATGAATGGACTAGAGTGGGTAAAAGAATACAGACAGACCTATAAAGCTGTTGTCATCCTTTTAATGTGAGGTGGTGAGGGCCATAGCCAAATTGATAATGTGTGTTTAATTTTATATCATTGGACATAAAATTCTAATTAATGATTTGAGGATTATAGTAGAGTACTGGGTTATTTTTTATAGGCTGGTGTTACTTTGCTTTCCTAACTTGTATTATAGTTACAAATATCAAAGCACTGTCACATTTTATTTCATTTATCCTCATAGAAACTTTCTGAGATTGAAACTATGGAAGTTATTATTCTAGGTTGATCAAAGAGATAACTGAGATACTGAGCAGTTTTAGAAGTTAACTCATTGAACCAATGTGTGAGTGCCTACTAGATAACCCTAACTAGAACAATAGTGCTTAGTAGGGTTACGTATCTTATTTAGTTATTAAAAGTTATTAGTTCAGGAGGTTAATAGCAGTAGTTCTAGTTAAGGTTATGCATCTTGCTAATGCCTGAGCCAGAGTTAGAGTCTTTGATCCTGGTTGTTGATGGAAACAGCCACATTGCATGTATTTATGGTTGCTCTTCACAAGCTTACTTGCATACAAAACCCATAATGCAAGTCTTGGTAAATGCTTGGGGTGTACCAAAAAACATAAGCCTATTGGGTATGGCTTATAAAAAAAATATTTTGTGTTTGTTAAGTGTCATGTCTCACATATTTTTATGGAGCAAGATGATGTACATGTTTTTAAGATACCTTTGTATACGGATTAAAGGTTAAGACTTCTTAATTATATAACCCACAGGGTGCAAAGTAAGTGTTAGCAACCATGATAAAACATAGTATTTTATGAAGCAATTTTAAATTTAATAGCTGTATAGCTTGATTTCTTTGCATTCTTTAAAGGATTTGCAAGCAAATGAATAAATGCTTTATACCTCAGCCACAAAGACGTCAGAAAATGAATTCTAGACAGGAGCTCAGAGTTCAGATAAAACTCTTAAGATTGTAGAAAAAATGAAAACTGAACTCTGATTTGGTCAAATCTCATTTTGAAACAGGTTCTCAAGTGTGATGTCATTTCTGGAATGTAAAAGAAGTTATTTTCTACATTGTCTATTCAGTGCTTTTTTCATAAAAATTATGCCTACTTCAGAATGGATTCCAGAGATCTGTTCTTTTGACAAGTATACCTTCAATATGTTCAAGTTACAGATGGAGCCAGTCTTTTAATTTTTTTAGGATCTACTTGACTTGATTATATTAGGTTTAAAACTCTAGGCATGAAGATATATGCACATATGCACTTACACACACATATATCCAGTTTCCAATTTTTGAAGTTTAAAACAGTATGTTTATAGTTATTATTATGGGGAGATTAACAATGACTAGGGAAAACAGGGTGCGAAAATTGTTTCCTCTATATCAAGTCTCAATATTACAAGCAAGTCACACGTTTGGAGATCTTCCCATAGTGCTGTAAAGAGTTTCCATGGTTCCTGTCCACATGGCCTTCCTACTCTCCAGGATGGAGCGTCTTTCTCTCCACACTGCTGATGTGGTCAGACTAGTCAAGTGACTGCAGAAAAGGCACATTCCTTAGTCAACCTTTTGGGTCTGCCCTCTGTCCTTGAGTCATAACTATTGGCTTTAGATGCCAAGCCAAGTAAGTCTTGAACCCCACAGCATAAGCAGGACACCAGCATCTGATAACTCATAAACTGAACAATTAAGGCTGCTCCACCGCAGAGCTCCTTTTTGGGGGGGGGCGAGCTATGAGACAAAGCTATAAAGAAGTGGATTTTTATTCCGACTTGGGGTGAGTGACTCCTCAAAGGTGTTTCTTCCGTTCCTCCGTAACTGGATGGGAAACCTGAACCAGGTGTGCTTTGGCAGGGCTACTTGGGCCAGTCACCTCCAAGTGGAAACTGGGGTGACATCTTCAGATGAAAACACCGAACCTGTACTGCCAATGGAGGGTCCCTAAATTCACATCCTTCAGACCCGTATTCCACTCGGAAAGCCCTGGAACTAGTTGGCCCTGACCCCCTGCAGCAACAGCGCCAATTCAAAGAAGCCAGAAGACAAGGCGACAACGGCGCGGCGCTTCCCGCGTCTTCCAGGCAGCGCGCTGAAATCAAACGCGACGCCGACTCGTTGGGGGCCGGGCCCCGCGCACTCCGCCGCCCCAGCGGGCCAAGCCGCGGCCGCCGCCCACCCCGCCGCCGAGCAGGGCGGGGCGCGGCGAGGCAGCGGGCTGAGGCCAGCCGAGGAGGAGGAAGAGACGGCGGCGGCGCGCTCTGCGCAGGCGCGCGGCGCCCCGCCTCCCCAGCGTCGGCTCCCGGGCTGGCGGCTCGGGCCCTCCCACTCTCCCCCGCGCCGCCTCACAGCCCCGGCCCTCGCTTCACCCCGACGCCCCGGCGTGCGCCTCCTCCTGCCGGCCTGCAGGCCCGGGGCCTCCGCCTGCTTCCCCGCCGCTGCTCCTCGCGGCCCCGCTCGCGTTCACGCTGTCTCCCGGGCCGGCGCGGCCGCGGGCAACCGCTCCCCCTCCCACACCTACCCCGCCCCCTCCCCGCCTTTTCCGTCCTCCCGTCCCCCTCCCTCGGCCCGCTGCCGCTGCTCCAGATGAGGTGATGGCAACGGCCAACTTCGGCAAGATCCAGATTGGGATTTACGTGGAGATCAAGCGGAGCGATGGTGAGCCGCGCCGCCGGCCCCGCGTTCGGATGTGCACCGAGGGGACGCGGGCGCCGGCCGCCTCATTGATTGCTTCGCCGGGCTGTGGGGGCGGGAAGGCGGCGTCCGCGGCGCTTTTGTGTGTGGTGTGTGTGCGAGTGTGGCCGGCGTGGGGTCCACCCGGGCGCCACTGCAGCGCCGGGGGCCAGGCCGCGGAAGAGGCCGGGTGGGGAAGGGATCCGGGTGTCGCGGGCCGCGTCTCTGGGGGCTTCGGGCGGGCGCGGTGGACGGTTCCGGGGCGGGGGCCCCTAGCTCCTCCCGCGATCTCCATCCTCCCCGGGGACCCCAGCCCTGGAGGTAGCGGGCTTCGTTAGGGATGACCCTGCCTCGCGCTTCGTTTTTATTTTACCAGCCTCATCTCTAACGGGGATAGGGAAGAGGGAGTGTGAAGACCGGTGATTTCAATATTGAGAGAATTGACTACCGGTCAGAGGCCGAGGTGGGGAAAAGGGCCAATCCCGTTGCTCTAAACTGCTGTCTGGTTGTCAGGCCTCTTCGGCTTTCGTCCTCTAGCATGCTTCTTTCTTTTTTGCCAGTTCCTTCTTTGGGAGGATGTAGAGAATGTCTCGCTCAGCCATGAATAAGGGTGGAGGAGCAATGGGAAGAAATATTCGATAAGCTTCTCCAAGGTGCTGAGGCTGTAAGGGGCAGGAGAGAGGATGAGCATAGTCAATGCGAAGCACTACTGAGAGTGGGGGTGGGCGACCGGATGTTGATATTTTCACACCCTCGGGAGAGGTAACTGAGAAAAGTGTAAGGCGAGGTGAAGACACATGCTTCATTTTTTTTTTAAAAGAGCCTTAGGCTTATATATCTTTCTGTAGGTTCCTCTTGGGGAAAATGTTTTATGTCACTAGCTTGGGGTGTGGAGGGAGATAGGCCAGCCTGGCTTGAAAATACATTGTAAGGGAGAAAATGCATGCAGGGAGATAAGTAAAATTATTTTCTTTCAATCCTAATAGTGAAAGAACTAGAGATGTGTATATAGAGTTGTGCAGTGTTCTTGATTCCATCACTGTTTACCCATTTCTTTTATTTATGGTTTTTTTGTTATCTTTTGGCGTTGTCAGTAGTAACATTTCTATCACATCCATGCTCTCTTGGATTCTACCAAGTTTGACCAAATTATGTGAGGCTAGATTGACTTTCATGTTATCTATATGATGATATACTGGAAGACCCTATATAGCTAATGATTTTTTTTCTTGATTGTATTTGAGGTAATTTGTGGTAACAACTGGAAGCATTATCCTGTATGTGAAAAGATAAATTATACCACTTAGAGCTTTGGAAGTTACCAGTAACACTAGTGGAAAAGAGATATCTTCTTGGGTTGGAGTTTCTTTTATATTTTCTCTTCAAATTACTTTCTTGAAGGGGGGCTGTTAATGTCGTTTCTTGATTAGGTGAATGTAGGTTCACTGTATTCCAACAAAAGTAGGATTTGCATATTAAAAATTTTGAGTGCATAGCAACCCCTCTTCCAGGTATATACCCCAAGGAGAGAAAATCACTGTCTTGTAAAGATATCTGCAATCCCATGTTCATTGCAGCATTATTCACAATAGCCAAGATATGGAAACAACCTAAATGTCCATTAAGGCTCAAACAGCTAAAGAAAACATGGACTATGCAGTGTTATTCAGCCATAAAAAAGGAGATCCTGACATTTATCACAATATGGATAGACCTAGAGGACATTATGCTAAATAAAATAAGTCAGACTCAGAAAGAAAAATATTGTATGATTTCACTTATATGCGGGATATTTTTTAAAAGGACCTCAAATACACAGAAATAGAGAATGAAACAATGGTTACCTCAAGTGTGTGGAATGGAATAGATGTAGATCAAAGGACAAAATAGCAGATATATAGGATGAACAGGTTTGGAGATACATGAGGATTAAAGTTAATAAAATTGTATTTGGGATTTTTGTTAAATAAGTAGATTTTAACAGCTCTTGCAATGAAAAAAGTAATTATATGAAATGATAGCTGTGTTAATCTGCTATACTATAGTAACCATTTTACTATCTGTATATAGCCTGCTACATCATGTTGTAAACCTCAAATATACACAATGAAATTTATTTTTAAACAATTTGGGGTGCAATAAGACCTGTAAGTTCTTTACATTATTATAAGCCTTTAACTGTGATTATAGGTATTAACTGTGAAATCGTATCAGAAAAAATAGTATATGAAATTCCAGAGGTTTGCACATTTTAATTTTTACTGAGCTAACATCTTTTACTTAAACATATTGAACGAATTTTGGTTCTTTTCAGTTTTCTAGGATACGGAGCTCTTTCAACCTTCACCTTTAGCCTATACCAGAAATTCCCAGACATATAAGAGCTTTGTGTTCTTACATAAGTGCTAGTAACCTAAAACCATGTTTCAAAAGCAGTTTGCCCATAGAAATTATGGAAATCATTACAATGTGGTGTTATTTGCCTCAGATACATAATGGAAGTTGTGGAAGGCAAAAGATAAGTAAAGAACTTTAAGGAATGATCATTTGCATTGGATGGTGGTGTTTCACAGTAGAAATTGATATCTGGGAGACCTCCCTCAAGCTTTCCCATTTTCACTTTGAAGAAGCTTATTTGCTTCCTGCCACTTATATAGGAGATCTGTATTGAATAAAAACACTAGTGATTATTATAACAAAAATAAACTTTGTAGTTGGATGAACAGTAATGTAATGCCTGAGACAGTAGAAATGACATGAGTGAAAAAGGGCTGCTACAGACTGTTATTAACTGGTGACTTGATGTTTTTCTGTATATGCTAATTGTGATCCTTGTCTCTATTTCAAGCCATGCTTTTTCTGTCAGTGATGCTCATATATTAATGCAGGTATTCCAAGGGCAAGCAAGTAAACTAAAATGGGCTTATTCCTAATCTTTCAAGACCCTGCTAAAAGACTAATCCTGATAAGTCTTCACTGATTACCAAAACCAGATGGCCAGTCGGCCTCTGAATTCCTAAGTCACTCTGTATCATTTATGAGACAGCATATTTAAGTATCAATGTATTGATGTTTGGGTACATAACTCTTAAATGTTATGTTTTTAAACTGCACTGGGGAAGGGGTGGTGTGGAGAATGCAATGGATGGATGTCAGGCTACTTGCACCCACTTCAACCAGAGCTAATGTGTTACAGGATAAAATACTGATAGACTCTTAAGTTCCCTGAATTCATCTGTGTATCACCCCCCCCCCAGGTGCCTAGCAAAGTTCCTTGCATATTGTTTTTGAGTGAATCACACATTATTGGAATTTTGGTTTTCAGACATTTTAGATGAAATCTTACCAGGATGTGAAATGCTTCCATCTGTAGTCATTCTGTTTGGCTGGCCTTCTATTTCCCACTGGCCTCTTAGTTCAGGATCTACAGAGTTGATTGAAACTGAGTGATCTGCTAAAGCTCATCTGACTTTTCCAGTATTCTAACGTTATAAGTGGCTGGGGTTAGGCTTGGACTCCTGAGATTGTTCTCTGCTGCAGGAGATAACCTCGTATGAAATTGGACTGGTTTATGGAAATGGACAGTCATGTATATTTTCTTGTATGTGTCTTCCTAGTGTCTTTCTGATTCCATTCCTTTTTAGAACTTAGTGACTCTAAAAAACCACAGTCTTACTATTCTGTAGCTAGTTTTTTTATTGGTAGTTTTTTTTTTTTTTTTTTCAAGCTGTACTATTATCAGTTCTACTGTAGCTGTGACTTCCTTTTGGGGACTGGGGGAGAGATGAGAAATGTTGAATATTTGGAAGCTGCAGCTAAGGTAGGATTGTTTTTTGGGGTCTCTTAGTCACAGTATTGATATATGTGGTCTGAAGAGAATTTTAGAATATTTCCATTAGTTGTCATTTTTATAAATGTGGAAACTGAGTCCCAAGTCACCACAAGTGACTTATCTAGATTCATACAGCTTGTCAGTGGCAGCCAGCAACCTGTCTTGCTCAGCATAGAAACCAGACTGTCTGTCAAGAACTATGACAGTAAAGGAAGAATTCTGTTATTTTGGAACCATATATAGCTTTCTACAGCCTGATCAAGATATAGGAAATTGTTTCTCCCTTATGGAAAAGGCACTAGAGAGCAGTGTTACAGAGCATGATTGGAAGGATCCCTGGTAAAAAGTAATATGGTATAGTTACTACAAGTTCACAAAACCTAAAGTGGGAGGAAAATATTCTTGTTTCTTAAAAACACTGGTGAAAAGAGTGCCTTAATTAAGCATCTGAAATCAAGAGGAAAGAGAATATTTTAAAGGATCGATCAGGAATTTTTGGAGTTTAGGGCAGGTAACCTTTAGAAAGGATTTTTAATGACCTAACTCTTTACATGTTTTGCCACATTTATTCTTCTGCTAATTCATTTTTACATGCCATTAAATAGGCTTCTGAAGAATAGACTGCATAACTTTAGGTAATAAAAATGAACCATATACCAATATAATTGTTCTTTAGGTACAATTATGTGACTGATTATGGGGATGGGGTGGAATGAGGGAATTTGCAGATTAATAATTCCCTTTTGCATGTTGACTAGGACAATAATGGTTTCATATATGTATCTGTTAGGCCTTCATAGTTTTCCAAGTGCTTCCAAACATAATTATCTAATTGGATCCTCACAGGAACCCTGTGAGGTAAGCAGGGTAGGAGATGGCATATTTATCATTTTACAGGTAAAGAATCAGAGGTTGGATTTTTTGCCAAGATCACACGAGTAATAAGGGGCATAGCCTGGGCCAAGCCTAATACCTTCACTCCTACCTCTAAGGGCTGGCAAGTGTTTGCTGGTGATGGTATGAAGTTGTATGCTTTGTATACTTTAGTTTTTTGTTTTTTTTTTTTTTTGAGACATATATGCCCCATACTAAAATTCTTTCCATGGACTACCAAAGAGGCTCAGAAAACCTACAACTGATAATGTAGGTCAAA